GCTATCGTAATAGTTTTAGAGCCGTCCGACAAATTTGAAAATAAAAACGGAGTTGCCACCAATCTTTTTTGGTTAGGTACAATTGACCATCTATTAAAATTTATCCTTTTAATAAAACCTTAAAGTTAATTAAGATTTATTAAAAAGATAATTTTAGGGTCTACAAAACAGTCTAGGTTTAAGAGTCAGTTACACGTGGGGAATGATTAGCACCCCCACAACACCCGTTTAAAATGGTACCAATTAACTATGTGTTATTCATTAATTTTGATAAAAATAGTCTTATTTTTAGTGTTTGAAAAATAATTTTCTTGATTTTTCATTTATTGGAATTTAGTTTTTTTGTTTATCAAAAATTTATTATTCTAATTTTATTCGAAAAAAATAAATTAGAACCTTTTTATTGAAATAGTTCTTAAAATGTTCCAGTACGTTGGTAACATTAAAAGAACTTTTTTTCACATAGAGATTTTTTAGGCATCACTTCTCGGAATACCTTAAAATTTTATTCTCGAAGGCTCAAATTTATTTTTCGTAAAAAACTATACCATGCATGTAATGCAAATGATAATACGCTAATGCATACATTTCATTTTTTTATTTAGAAATTTTATTGATTTTTATTAATCTTTTTCATTTAACTTTGAATAAAAGAAGATTTTTTATAAATATTCCAATACACTAGTAATATTAAAAAAAAATCTTCTCACTTAGGGATTTCTTAAAGCATCTTTACTTGAAATACTTTTAGAATCCCGTTATCAAGTAAAATTTCTTTTTTTTCTCATCTTTTATTACTTATTTTAAATGAGTTAGTTAATTTTTATTTACTATTTTATAACAAAAAAAAGAAAATTTTTATTGCATTGAAAATTTTTTATAAATACTCCAATACACTTGTAGTATTTTAAAAAAATCTTTTTATATAGAGATTTCATAGGTATCACTACTTGGAGTACCTTTAAATCTCATCGTCGAATAAAAATTTTCTTTTTTTTACATTTTTTTATTAATTTATATTATTATCATAAAGTTTTTATTTTTTAAAGATTATTTTAAAATTAACAAAATTATAAAAATTTTAACTCCATATTTCATCATTTATTTTTATTTACTAATTAATTATTTATCACACCAAAAATTTATTCTAACAAATATAAATATTTTAATATGCATAAATGTTATTAGAATAATATATAAAAAATTTAAAAACAAAAATTTTTTTTTACCTAAACTAGACCGGTCAACAGTTCGATCAATGCAGTCTGATCGGTTTGGCAGCTTGGTCCGACCTGGTTGGTTCGGTGGTTCAATTACGATCTGGTTTGATCTAGGTCAATTCAGCTGGACCTGTCAGAGGTCAAAGGGAAAGCGGGTTTCCACGTTGGGTGCGCAAACCCTGAGTTAAGTTTTGGGTTAATGCGCGGATCCTAGCTTAAAACGATGTCGTTTTGGGCCTTTAAATGAAATGGTGTTGTTTTGAGACTAGACTTCTATATAAAAGTAAAAAAAAAAAATTTTTTTTTCAACATGTTTTTCCTTCTTTTCTAAAAAAAAAATCTCTCATTTTTTTTCAGACAAGTCTAGGGTTATGGCCGTCAACCGTGACGGTTGCCGTGTTCCTTGCTAGCAACGAACTCCGACTGCCGTGTCGGTTATCGAAAAATCTCAAAACTCATCCACAAACTTCTCTCGACCCCTTGAACACATATCCGACTTTCCTTTCACTAAAAATAGCCTCAAATTCCCTATATATGCTTTCTAACTTTAGGCCAAATCCTTTCTTTTTTTGCTTTTTGACTTGCTTTTTGAAACTGATTTTTTTTACAGGGGTTTTTGGCGTAAGGTACCCCATTTCAGGGGAATGAGTTTTTTTTTTGTTTGATTTTTGACAAAATCCTTTCTTTTTTTTTTAGTTGCAGGGTCTCTTTTTTTCTTTTTTTTTTTGGATCGACCATAGAGTTCTATTTATAGAGTTCCGGCCATGCCCTGTGCCTAGATAAGTGGCACAGGTTTTGGTAGAAGGGGATGCCATCAAGCACGAGCCCCCTACCCCCTTTGGTTTCTTCTATCTTGTCTTACAGTGAAAATTTCAAGGACTCAAAGGTGGACAGGGCATGATGGCTAGAAGTATAGGGCATGGGTGATGAACAAGGACGAACACGGATGAACAAGGGGTGGTAGTGGTGCTGTGCACGACACCCATTGCCACTAGCCCTTTTGTTTTTTTTTCTTATTATTTTTTTCTATTTTTTGTGTAAAATTGATAAATTAATATCAATGTAAAAAAAAGGAATAAAAAAAGGTAAGCTTTGGGCCTAAACAATGAAATCGAGCCTCAAGCCTGATTGGGTCTAGATCAAAATCAGACTTTGGGCTCTGTTGAATTAAAATTAGGCTTGAAGTCTAATTGAATTGAAATCAGGGCTCGGTTAGAGAACCTAATATACCCGACAGATTAAAATCCAAACAAATTTGGTGTCTATATTGATTAGTTCGTTTAATTTATTATTCAGTGATTATAGATAAAAAAAATTTGATTATGATGATAACTTGAACTTAATAATTTAAACCATATTTTTAAAATTTAAAAAAAATTATTACAATAATTTTTTAAAAAACATATTGGAAATTTTTTTATGAATTTCTCATCCTACTGCCACCGGCTAATTACACCTCACCAACAAAGCCACCATTTTTGCATAAACACCATCATCAAAATACTCATCAGTCATCGCCCAAATTATACCCAAAACCATATTCGAAAATACCTACAAGCATCACACACACACACACACAAAAGCTAAAATATTAGAACATTTTAATCTTAATTTGAATTAACTTATACCCTCTAAACACATGGTAACCGTAATTTTAGAACTTTTACTGTCCTGAAAACAACTCTTTGTTTCCATCTTTCAGGCGACAGAAAGTTTTATGGAGTACTTGGTTGAATGATCGATCATAAGATTGGAGTTAACTTAGCAAGATATGACCCTAGCCAGGAAGGCTTTCTGGAGCAGAGGGGAAGGGAAGCAATGGTGAAAATGGTGTGCAGGAAGTGAGAAAAGGAAATCAATTTATCAAAGTGAGTTTGAGGGAGGTGAGGACATATATAAATGAAACATATGGGAGGAAATCGTATCTTCAGGCATTGGTTGATGAATGAAGCAATGAGGTGGAAGATATTTCAAATGAAGTGGCAGAAGGATTTGGATACCAATCATACCATGCTACGGGGTTGTAATCGTAGCTTTGAAGAAAGTTTCTCACCACACAGGCCCCATAGTAAACGCTTCTTTTCATCTGTTGAAGTTTTGAATTGTAGAAGGCGAATAATGTAGGAGGCAAATGAAATTTGAAGGGGTGGTAAGAAACTAGCTAGGATTATCATACCAAGTACACGTCTCTTTTTGTTCCAAAATTTTTCGAAATATTGTTAAAAAATTTGAATTAATTTGAATTGAACTTCCGACTGATTTCTTTAGAGCTTTATTGTACTTAATTCAAGCTTATTTTATTCAAATTTAAGATTAAATTCAATTTGTCTTTCACTTTTTAATCTAATAATTAATTAAAGTTTTATGAGAATATAAAGATCTCGATTTCGAACTAAGATCGCTTCTTCTTTCCTCCTATAAGGCTATGCCCTCCCCTGAAAAAAAAGGATTAAATTCAATTTTCCAAGTTACAGTTAAATTTTATTAATTTGAGTTTAAGATTTCAATTCTTGAGTTTCCAAATTATTAATTGAGTCTAAAAAATTTTTAAAATAACATTGGGCTTTAATTGGATTTTAGTTGGACTTTGAGCCCATTGAAAACGGACGGACTTGATCAATTTTATTTTTAATTTTTAATTTATTTTTGATAAAATTTTAAAAAAAAGACCGTAAAAAAGAAAAAGAAAATAGAAATATTAAAATATCAAAAAATAGAATATAAAAATATAAAAATTCTAAATAAAAACTTCAAATTTATCCAGATTAAATTGCTTTAAAAAATAAGATTTTTGAAATTGAATCCCATAAAAGAGAAAACTTGCCAAGAGATTTATGTGTAACTGAGTCCTTTTGATCTAGACTCCTTTTTGGTTTAGGACTAGTTCCTACACAATCAACCTTACGACAACACAATAAGATCATCAACAATCACAAAAAGTGCTCTGGCAATGAGGTTTTTTTTTTTGGTTGAGGTCTTGTGGGAGCAGTTGACAATTAGCCAAGGAAGAAATTAGAAACAACACTATTCAGCAACCTAACCCAAATTCTCACCCAGCAACAATAATTCACAACGCAATTAATTAAAAATAATAAGTCAAAATTTAACTGGTTCAAAAACCCAATTAAACCGGTTTAATTGATTTTGACGATTTTATACTCTTATCAAACTGAACATCAGACCGATTGATTCGGTCTGGTTTTTCCAAACATTAATTTTGAAGCTTTGGTTAGCTAAAGCTTTGCTAAACTTGAATTTTATTGGCAAATAAGACCTGAAGGGCATTGATAAAAAAAAAATGTTTGCGTTGAAGAGAGGAAGTGGATGGTCCATGTCATTGCAACAACAGTTGTCAACACTGAATTAAATCCCTTCTTTGTGACACATGAATGGAAACTAGTGGCTGGGGAAGAAAATAATTTCATTTTCTAATATTCCTTGATTTGTGGCTATGGATTACCAATTTCAATAATTTTGATATACCCAAGTTTGGAAAACCTCCATAAAATTGAAATCATATATTTTCATAACTATAATAGTTTATTTTGCAAAAAAAATATTAAAAGTAACGAGATTTGAATTCTAATTTAATTGAATGTTAATTTTTAAAAATAATTGTATAAATTAAATAAATTAAAATTTGAATTCATTTTATTTTTTACTTACATGATTATATTTTTGTCAAAATTTGTTTGTTTAAATTAATTTTAGTGAAGGAGAATGAAATGGATGATAAGAAGAAAATTTAGTGTAAAATAAATGAGAGAAAAAAGTGGTTAAAGAGAGAAGAAAAGAGATAAAGAAAGTTCAAGTGCTAAAACACTTGGAATTTCAGATTCGACTTACTAAAAACAAAAGCTCAATGCTACAAAGGGAGTACGAAAATAAAACTCAGTTCTACTAACTAATTAATATGAAATAGAATTACGCAAAACTCAATTCCACTATTTACAATGCTATCCCCTTCTGAATTTCTTCTCAATTGGAAGTGAGCACCAAGTCTAAATTAATAATCTTCAATTTCTTCATCACTAAACAAATTGCGTCTCCAAATGTTGTGTCAGTTGGAAGGCACAGGGTAGTATTTGCCTTTACACATGCACCTATAAACAATTGGGCAGGACTCTGAAGTGGAGCACTTGAAGCTCACAATCACCCTCTTGCAGGGAAAGCAGGGGCCACAAGCGTGGGAACAGTCAGGCAAGCTCGACCCTGTTGGGTATAACTCCATCCCTAGCACTTCCTTTACTCCTTCCTGCAACACAATTGAGTCATTGAGGACTTTTTTTATTTTATTTTTATTTTACTTCATGCAGTCAGGATTTGAATTTGATCATTAAATCTAAGAGTCTTATTCTTTATCAACACACTGCACAGCTGTTAGCCTCTTTTTATTTTATTTTATATACTCAAGTTGCGTAAGAAATTAAGATATGATGGTAATGAGGGATACGTGGGGAGAAACAAACCTCAGGGTGCACTTGTCCTTCATCTCCAAATTTGGTAGCTACACATACATAGAATAATGTAAATCAGTGCCAAAATAGAGAAAATGAATTAATTTGCAACAGTGACACATTCGAGTTTCTTTTTAAGTATTCACTTAAAATATGTATAAAAAATTTTGGGGTGTTAAGAAAAATTTTCCTTCAATTTTTTTATTTTTAAATTTTTGGATATTCATAGGAAAATTTCGGGATATTCAGAAAAATATTTTTCTTCACATTTTTTTTTAAAGTTTTTGAGCGTCCTAATTCTAAAATAGATAAGCCTCTGGTTTGCAATGGATTAATTAACACGGATGAATGGATTTGAATGAAGAAATGGAGACAGAGATATTTGCAATGAACTAACCATGGTGATGAGGGGTCACACGATGGCTTTCTGTGAATAAGCAAACCATCAAGAAAATCAAAACTAACATCATTCGACCAACTCCATGAGAGAAGTTCTTCATGTTTCTGTGTTATTGTTTGTATAACAAACCACACAAATTTGAGAAACTTTGAAGAAATACACTTATGATAGAAAACCATGCAGGAAATACCAAAGTTTTGGGGGAGTTTTGGTCGTGGGCGAGGGTAGTAATATAAGGGCAGTGACAGAGAGAGAGGAAGTAGTTTTAAATATAGGAGGGTACACCTGATGCACTTCACATGATCCACGGCTATCTTTTGAAAGGTTTTCACATGATTTGGTAAGTCATCCACAATTAAACCTATACTAATATTAGTATTCAAAAGCACGTTACAACCTAAAAGAACAAAACAAAATTTCAAACAAATTAAAAAAAAAAAAAAAAAAGTCAAGAAGTCACTTCAAGCAATTTATACAACAGGGTTGTTGCTAGAGACAACTATAACATATAGGCAACAGAAGGAATAATCCTACATATATTTTTGACAATAAAAAGCATAGCACTTTTACATTATAAAAAAATTGAATTTATAATATAAAACACATAAAAGTCGAAATTTTTTAATCTACGTAAAATTAAAAAGGAACACTAAAAATGAAATGGAAAAATAGTACATTTAAAAAGTTAGTCTAGCTCATAGGAAAATGCACAACTCAACTATACATTATTTTTAGATTCAAACGTTTATGATGAGCTATTTTCGTTGTTAAGATCATTTTCATGTAAGCTAATGTATAAAACTAATAATTATGTTTACATGTTTTTTTATCAGAGCTTTGAATCCAACATATCACGTAATTGTTGACCCTTTTACGTGATTATTATCGTAATAATTTTCACTTATTATATCAAAGAAAATGTCATTACTGTGGTACTTCTTATCAAATGAAGAAGGCATTTAAACAAAGACAAGTAATCGACTACATTGTTGTTAGGTCATCAACTCAAAATTCAAATCATTTCTACTTTGGGACATCATTCGAGTTTAACTCTCCAATTAGTTAGGTTCTAATAATTTCACATTGTTAACTTTTAAAATCAATTCAAGTTTGAATTGTTTTGTATTAGTCTTTCACATCATTCAGGTTCGAGTTAATATTTTTTAATCAAATCAGGTTGCTTCATGCTTGAATTTGGATAAGTTTTCGTGATACACGTCAAATTTTTTTACTTTCCTTTATAGATAGAATGTGTTTCCTAGACATGTAAACAAATCTAAGTATGTGTTGTATATATTGGGCAAAGTTTAAAGTTGGAAACTAAAATAATTAATAGTGGTATATATAGATTGAAAAGCTAGCCTTGAAATTAATGGGGTAGGGAGACATGAGGGAGTTCACGAGTACAGACACTTGATAGGATCATTTATTGATAATCAAAGATGTAGATGTGGATGATCTGTCAAAATATATGCCTTCCAATTGAAGAAGGCGTAGGCCTGCCATAAACGTGAAGTTCATACCCTCGACTTAAATGAACTATATATTTGCTTCACTTCTTCCATGCATGCCTTCTGCCCTTTACAATTAATGCTCCCATGTTTCCCATTGATCACCCCTTATTCACCGGGAACTTCCCATGGATATATCATGTTTCATTTTCAACATAAAATATCAAGCTCTCCCTCTTTGTATACATGACAGTTTGTGTATTTTTGTATGTTTATTTTATATATAATACATATAAAATACAAAAATTATTATGTCATAATTTAAGTCAATGAGTAAAACGATAAATATATTTTTAAGTTTTTGTCAAATTTATATATGATTTTTGTTAGAATTTTAAACCATATTGATATCATTTTTTATCATTTTCATATTTTATCACCATATTGTGTTTAGAATTATCATATATATATATATATGTACATATGTGATATACCATGACATTTTTAAAATATGAGGAACCATTAGGTAGGAAACATTGTATCAAATCCTTGTACAATTAATCCAAGAGTATGGCAAATTGATTTTTCTAATCATTTAAATTAAACATAATATCTAATTTTCATCCATACTTAATTCTCACTTTAGTTGAAAGTATCATATAAAAACATTTTGATTATATTTATTTTTTTCAATAAATAAACTTTCCATTCATCCTACAGAAAAATCTAAATCTTTCAATACAAATTGTTGTAAAACTTCATGTCCTAATATATAGATCCGTGAACTTACCATTAGTTATAGGTTAAAGGAGTCACTACCAATTTTTTTTGTTAAGGTACGATTGGTTACCTGACAGAATCTGTCATATTTAAAGAAGAATCTTAAGATTAACTTAAGTATCTTTAAATAGTAGTTTCTAGTCTACGAAATCAAATTTTAAGTTTGGGATTACGGTTACATGTAAGGAAGATTATAACACGCTCACTGTGCCCATCCAAATGATGGTACCAATTTGATTTCAAATTATCCAAGCTTTAAACATGTTAATAATTTACCAAAATATTTATTATTGAAAATTGATCTTAAGATTACTCTAATAGTTTGGTAGTAGTTTAAAATAATTTTTTTACCTCAAGAGTATTCATGGAGACTAGTGTCTCACCCTGAAAAAGCTCTATTGTCGGATTTATTAATATATTTTGCCCAAGAAAATAATTAGTAAAGTCTTTCAATATTTTGGTAGGATTTACGTTGATGCAGATCTCTCAATAGTTTAATGAAATTTTATTGTAAAATATTTACAAAATTTTATTTTTGAGAAAATTCATTAAATCTTCCAATAGTTTAGTAAGATTTAATATGCAAATCCTCCAATAGTTTGATAGGATAAAATACAAAGGATTTTAATAATAATTTTTTTGTACCATTAATTTTATGAAATTCTCCAATAGTTTCATAGAATTCATAAAAAAATCTCTAATAGTTTGGTAAGATTCATGAATTTATTTTTAGAAACATTTTTTTATTATATGAAATCTATCTAAGAAAGAAATTGAAATTAAGAAAAAGAATAATAATAATAATAATAATAATAATAAAATGAAATAGAAAATAAAAAAATTTAGAAAAAAATAAATTAAAATGTAAATGGAAAATAAAATAATTAAAAAAAACTTGCAATTGAGTCGGGCCAAACGCCCGAGTTGTGCAAGGGTCAACAGATTAATAGGCGGATCATAGGCCTTCAAAACGACATCGTTTGGTGCAAGTATAAAGGCCAAACTTCTTACCTTTCTTTAGAAGCTTTTAGTCCTTTTTTTTTTTTTATCTAATTTCCCTTTTTCTCTGGCCTCTCTCTAGAAATCTTAGAACAAATCATTGGAAACTAGGTTTGATCACCAGTTTCTGAAAAACTGGTTAGAATTGGATCAGAAATTTCAAATATCGCCAAAAAATTCAATAAAAAAATTCAAACATTCAAACAAAAAACTCCGTTTTTTCTATATTTTTTAGATGTTTTTAGAAATTCAACTCTAAACCCAGAAATTCAAACCTAAACCCAGAACTTCAAACCTAAAACACAAAAATTCAAATTTACACCTAAAAATTTTGAACTTTCAATCCTAGAACTTCAAGGTTAAAATCCAAAGATTCAAACTACTCCCAATCACCATAAACCCTTAATCCTAGAAACTTCAAACCCAAAAATGTTCCCCCAAAAAGAAACTTTACCTTTCTTTGCAATCCTGTGTTTTAAATTTATAAGCTGCTTTAGTACTAATTTTAGGACTCAAACAGAACCAATCTAGGCTTAAATTCTGAGATTGGATTTTGTCCAATGTGATTTAGTCCTAGGTTTTACAAATCTGCCTGATTTGATTTGGTTCTGAATTGAAAACACTTTAATTATGCAGATTTAATTTCGTTGTTTCAACCCAGATTAAGAAAAAAAAGAAAAAAAATAATAATAAATGCCAATTGACCTCGAACATAAATGAGTGTCTACATTTTGGACACTTCTTTACCTAATACATGGTTATATGAATTTCCAATGCATATTTTGTTATTTTGTATGCCACTATATTTCTAGTTTTGCCTATGTGTGCTAACCTGCATGTGCTAAAAGTTGTAGCTATGGTGTCATAACATATAGATCTGAAAATTTGTAGTTAGACTTAACAAATGGAGTCATCACCAATCTTTTTAAACTATGTGTGATTGGTCACCTATTAAATCTATCATTTTAAGGAGCTCCTAAGCTTGACTAAGGGTTCCTAAAAGAATAGATTTAGGTCTATTAACCAGAACATGGTTTGAGAGTTCAGTTACATATGAAAAAGGTTATAGCCCCCCCACATGCCCATCCAAAAGATGGTATCATTTTATTTTAAATTTATCCTAAGGTCTTAATTCTAATAGTTTTAAATTTTAATGTTCAAATATTGGAAATAACTTTTAAGATTCTTCTATCAATCTGGTTGAATTCTTAAAAAATATTTTCTTACCTCAAGAGTATTCAATAATCCAATTTGTTTTTTTGAAGAAGCTCCGTCGTTGGGAAAAAAAGTTTAATCATTTTTATTTTCCTTTTTGGTTTTTGTTGAAAGTATATCTAATTATTCCACTATTTGGGTCAAATTAGAAATATTTTCTTTTTTGAATTTCTAAATTCTCCACCATTTAGTCCTATTTAGAAATTTCTTTTTATTTTTTTTTATCTTTGGTAAGAAAATATTATGACAATTATCTTTCTTGAAATTTCATTTAAAACTTTTCATTGTTTGGAACAAATTTAGAGAAATTTCTCACTTAGAGATTTCTTAAGAATTTACCATTTGAAATTTTTAAGAATATCATCCTTAGATAATTTGTATTTAAATTCAAAATTTTTATTAATATTTCTATCTTTTAGTCATTTTTTCCCTTTTTTTGAAAATAAATATTAATTATTGTTATTAAAATTTTATCTAAATTATTTTACAATTTGGGACAAATTTATATAAAATTTATCACTTAGGAATTTTATAGGAATTTATCATTTGAAATTTCTAAAAATTTCATCATTGGATAATTATTATTTATTCTTTAAAATATTTTATTTTGTTTTATATTTTTTATATTTATTTCTTCTAATTTTTTCTAAAATTCAAACATGCAAGCTATTTCAAATATAAAAATAAAAATAAACTAAAAAAATAAAATAAAAATGGAAAGAAAATAAAAAAAAAATCGACTTGGCTTGGCTCACTCGTGGCTTGGCTTAGGATGTGGCTCAATGGTTTATGGAACGGCTCAGTTCGACTCAACCCCAAGGCCCAGGAGATGGATTGCCAGTAAGGGTAGTGCTACGGGTCAGGTTACCCACTTAAAAACACGCGGATCCTACTTTGGTCTAATATCCAAAATGACATCGTTTTACTTGGCTATAAAAAGCCAAAGGT